GACTGGCCGCCTGCAGTGCAACGTAGTACTGAGGGACGTCTGCAAGGCGTTTGACAAAGTTTGGCACGCAGGGCTGCAGTATAAGATCATACAACTGGGGCTACCCGAAAATCTGACGTGCTTGCTGTGCAACTTCATTACAGACCGCAAAGCCAAAATCAAGATGCAAGAACATTGTGAAGAATAATTCTCAATATCGAGCGGCGTGCCTCAGGGCTCTTGTCTCTCACCAACCCTTTACACACTCTACACGGCTAACCTGCCACCCCCAATCGTCGGCAGCGAGTACGTCATGTATGCCGACGATGTAACACAGATCGTCACCTGCCCAGGAAGGTCCACAGCAAGGATGGCGCGACTCACTGCTCGGGCAATAGAGGAGGTCTCGGAGTATGAACCTAAATGGAAAATAAAAACAAACAAAACGAAATTTGAGGTCATACCCAAAGCCAAATTCAAGCCGGCCCCACTGATGATCGACGACGAAGAGATTGAGTACTCTAAACAAGGCAGGTTGCTCGGCCTCATTATTTCTCGGACGGGCATCATTCCCCACGTGAAGGACAGACTAAATAAAGCCAAAGTCGCCGCAGCCAAATTAAAACGTTTTAAATTGATGCCTGAGAAGATACAAGTTCACCTGTACAAGGCGCTGGTGAGGTCTGTGCTGGAGTACCCATCTATACCACTCGTCACACTCGGGAAGACTAGACTACAGCAACTACAGAGCTTCCAAAACAAGTGTTTGAGATCAGCCAGTGGCCAAGCGCCACCCTATCAGGAGACAGTGGAAACCATCCACCTAAGAACTAAAACAGAGGCCCTCAACTTCAGGTTCCATCGTCTAGGGAAGAAGGTTTACTTCAGGTTTCATCGTCTAGGGAAGAAGGTTTGGGACAAGCTCCTGGATGACCTCCACAGCCCAGACCACCTACGCGGGTTAGACATTAACGGAGGGAGACCCCACGCCTGGTGGCCCCGGAGTCTGCCCGCACTACAACAACCCAACCAGCGACCCATCTATGTCCGCCACAGTGATCCACCTTAGATTAAAACTTAGATGATATAAATTCACATTTAACAAGTCACAATCAAGTGAGTCCATAACGTATTACAGTATAAAATGTTAATAAACTTGTAATTGTAAAATCAATCTAGTCATTGTCTACTAAAATAACCATTGTGCAACCTCATTCTAAATCCTAGGTTAGCTTAGTTAGCCAACAAACTCTGTAATATGTAAAACAAGGGGTGTCGTTCCCCTCTGTTTAACTCATTAAACTTCTTTTCAAACCTTTCCCCCCACGACTATATGTTGTGACTTCTCCATCCCTCATGCCTGGCTGTGCCTTGAGCCCCAGCATGCCTTCCATCCTTTCCCCACCTTAACCTAAAAAAAAAAAAAAGGGGAGACGTCCCTCCCCAGTACCGAGTCTCCCATAGGAGGTGTAGTCCAGCAGCACCTGCAGCTTCCCCAGCCGCCGGGCCTCCCTCAGGTCACCCGTGAGTCATTGTCAGGGCGATCCATTAGGGTGAGTTACTTATGGTGGGAAGTGCATCCATTTCATATTTGTTGTCCGAGAGTCATTGTATAGTAACGTAAATATAATGATCTATTAATGTGTCCATGCCATAATGTTGAATAATAAATAGCTGTACTTAGAATTGGCATTTGTTTAGAGGAATTCCCCCGAAAAATATAGGAACTTTTAAATAATTAATCGGCCACGCTATCAAACCTTCCCCACTTTACACTCCTACAACTAAATATTCTACCTATATCTTCTATACGAGTTTTAACGTGTTACACATACACACACACACATAAAAACATAAGAACATAAGAAAATAAGGAGTCTGCAATAGGCCGGTTGGCCTGTGCATGGCAGCTCCTGTCGAGAGTTACTACCACTCTTTATCATCCATGAATCTATCCAGCCTCCTTTTGAAACTTTCCAGCGTTCCAGCACTTACTACAACGTTGCTAAGCTTGTTCCACTCGTCCACCACCCTATTTGTGAACCAGTTCCTTCCTATCTCCCTCCTAAACACACACACACACACACACACACACACACACACACACACATTGGGATCAGCGTCAACAATTCTGCTCCCAACTATACCGCCCTTCAGGATTTATTGAACAGTCTCCAAAACTGGGCACCAACAACCATGTCCATCAACCATACCAAGACCATGGTTATGCACATCCTCTCCTCCGACATTGTCCCTCCTTCCATTACTCTGTCCGAACGATTCCACAAGCTCTCAACCATAGACAACAAACTAAATTGATCCACGAGTGAAGTTGTCAAATCCTCCAGTTTCCGTCTCCACCTCCTCCGCCGACTCAAGTCCTCGGGTTCCTGCAGGCTCCTCAGACTTCATACTTCCAAGCTCACCTATGCCTCCCACCTGGTTTTCCTCCCTAAATGCCACACAACGTAAACACCTAGAAAAAGTGCAAAAGAGGGCATGCAAGATTATTCTCTCCCCTTCCTACTCCACATATCAAGAAGCGCTCAACACACTGACCCTTTCGACTCTCACTGACCATCACCACGACCTCATCTGCAAATTTGGTAAGAAGCTTCTACACCATCCCCGACACCGGCTCCTACTACCACCTGAGATCCCTTGTCCGAGAATTGCTGTTCGACACCACAACCGCATCCAGCCCATACGTGCACGAACTGATCGCTATAAGAACAGCCCAGTCCCAACCATTGTAAAAATTATCAATAACTTAATAAATCAGTGTATTCACTCAGTAAACACTGCTCCTTACACTGTCACTATGTTGAAATGAACTGTAGTTTGAGCTTTTCCCCATCTAGTTATTATATGTCTTATTTGTGTCACTTATGTTACTTGTATATTATTTGTAATTCGTAACCCATTCCCCAAATATGTAACTGTATATTTTCAGCCTTCTGGCTGCCAAGCTCTTTCAATAAACCGTTAATTTTTATTATTATTATTACATGCACACGCACACACGTTGCTTAAATCTTATCCGTCCGTTAATACCAAGTATCCCGAACACAACTCCCCTCCAGAGAGACCCCCCCCTTCTCATCCTCCCTCCTACTCCTCATCACTCCCTCCCCCTCACCCTAGTTTCCTTGTCTATCTCCCTCTTTCCTTGTGTTTCTCTTAATCCTGGTTATCCTTTTCTCTCTACTTCTCTTCTTATTTTTAACTGTCCATTTTCCTTCCCTTCTCTCTTTTTTTTTATTAATGATCAAGTCTTTTAATTTCATATCTGAATCAAATATCGGAAAATATGAGAGAACCCTCCCCCTATATATACAGTATATCAAATAACACACAGACGATATTGTAAACAAAAATATATACTTGTACTTCTGCATCATACCAACATTTCCATTTCACTTTTTATTTTTATTTTTTAACGTTGAAATAAACACACTAAATAAAAGCATATCAAAAAAAGGTGGTGACAGCCTGACAGGTGGATTTGGTAAGAAGAGGCTTATTGGTGGAATAAGCTATGACCAGAGGCGCTAATTGGTGGATCTGAATCAAGTGACCCGCTAATTGGTGGATCTGAATCAAGTGACCCGCTAATTGGTCAACTTGATCTCTGATAAGGCTATGATTAGTTGATATAATGCTCGCTGTACTCTAAGGAGACATTAATCGACATACGCTAAGCTGGGGCTTTATATAATACTGTTAGTAGTATGAATAACAGACACACTACTAAGATCATCATAACCTAACATGGTGACAAGGGGTGAGATCTTACACAGATTAAATTACACGTTTTAAAGCTGAGCACGACTGATGGTAACTTTCTAATGTAATTCGTTATTTTTCCAACACCCACTCTCTCTCTCTCTCTCTCTCTCTCTCTCTCTCTCTCTCTCATATAAATACATATGTGAGTGAATAAAACTTGAAATTCAGAGCCCAGTTACTGTTGACTTCATTATACAGTAAATCATTCTTGGTGAGTTTTTCTTTAAGGAGTTAGCAAAGCACTTTAAGAATAAAAAAAAACGTATCTCACCACGATAAATGATACGTGTGGTGGTTTCAGAATTTAATGCCATGGAAGGAAGATATGAGGGTATTTTTTAGTCGTGGTATTTTATGTTAAGAACAAAAGAACAAATGGTTGATCTCGTATTATAATGTTTGAGATAAAAAAAATATACAGTCAGAATGAGAACATCAGAGTGAGGGTAAAAACGTAGGATGTTATGTGACTCACTGTGACTCGCTTAAAGATATGACACACACACACACACACACACACTACCCAAACCATATCCACTGAGAGACACTAAGACGACTCAAACCTCTGCTCGGCCACTTCTCAAGACACCAGGCACTTACAAATGAACCCCACAAAACCACAGTATATATGTGTCTGCTTCCCTTAACACAAGCATTCTTACCTCCCCCCTCTTTCCTCTCCCCTTTCTCCGCCTCCTCTTCCTTCTTTCTCCCCCTCTCCTCCTCCTCCTCTCATTAAGGCCTCGGTAGGAGGGTCGTGTGTATGGGAGTCTAGATCAAGGGGAAGCTCTGTCCCGCAACCTTAATGGTATATAAACAGCTTTGTGTGGCTTCGAGGCTGTGTGTGTGTGTGTGTGTGAACATATTTCTAAATAAAACATCTATGTGAGGATCAGAATCACTTCACATTTCACTTCCAAAACCTGGACAACAAATAACCTGCCTAATAAATCAACAGCAACAATGAACTGCAGCTGTTGAGCTTTATATAAAAAAAATAAGTCATCACAGTAGTGTTCAATAATCTAATTCATTTTAACAGTAATACGTAGTAGCGGATGTAACCATTGTAGAACTTATGAAAGACAAATGGAAATATTTAGAATCCATTTGCACAGTAATTATAAATCTCTCTCTCTCTCTCTCTCTCTCTCTCTCTCTCTCTCTCTCTCTCTCTCGTTCATCATCATACATTCACACCCAACTCACCTTTCGTCTCTGTGTTCCCCCAGGTCACACCCGTCGTATCAGCATTCCAGAGTGTTTAGAGTTCGACATCACGACCAACGCGTGTCGAGGGTTCTGTGAGTCGTGGTCGGTTCCTTCCGCCTGGCAGACCCTCGCCTCTAACCCCCACCAGGTGGTCACCTCCATAGGCCAGTGCTGCAACATCATGGATACTGAGGATGTAAGTATTACCTGTGTGTGTGTGTGTGTGTGTGTGTGTGTGTGTAAACAAGTGAGTACTATATAAAGGAAGGGCTAGGGAGGGAGGGATGAGGGAGGAAGAAGGATACCAATGGGACAGAGGAGTGACTGTAAGGAAATCCAAAATCCATTAAAAGAAGAGAGAGAGAGAGAGAGAGAGAGAGAAGGGGGTGGGTGTACAAGAAATACAATGATTTGACTCCTTAATGCGTTCAGCTCACGAACTCCCTAACCATCGAGTACTGAGTTAACGTGTCTCTACAAACTGAAATATTAATTATATCTTTGAGAGTCTCTTGTCTGGGGGCTTTTGTTCTCGTATTGCCTGTGGTCTGTTCACACACACACACACACACACACACACACACACACACACACACACACACACGCACACCTACCTGTGAACATTTCCAGATATTAATTAATTCGTACATCAAAGGAAAACTTGAAAATGTAGAAAACTCTCCTCGTGGTTGAGTAGCACAAGTAGGTAACCTATCAACATGATCTGCCCCAACTCTTCCTTCCCTCCTCCTTGATTTATCTATTTTTGGCTTCCTCATCTTTCATAGCCTTTGGTTTTCTCTCTCTCTCTCTCTCTCTCTCTCTCTCTCTCTCTCTCTCTCTCTCTCTTCCTTATTACCATTATTCTGTTTCATTTGACCTAGTTCATTCTTTCCTTTCTCCTCTTCTATGTCTTCCCCCATCCTCTTCCCCTTCTGTATTCCCATATTTTTAAGTCCCTCAACATTCACCTCCTCCTCTGTGTATGGTGGAGTTGTCGCCCACCATAACCACGTGTCCGGTAACACACTATTTCGTTCATGTTAAACTGAGTTATTTCCGATACAACTTGATCCAAGAGAATAAATATTAAATCAAAGTAAGAATAATTATATTAACTAAAATTTGCTTAAAATAATCTTGTACAAAACCGCGAACTCGAATCTAATCTGGGCGACGAAGGGTGTTAGGACCGGCCTGAAGCCACATATTGGGTACCTACTGACAAAGGCTTGAACCACTGCTGTACAGGAATCAAGAATCATATTAGCTACACAGTGGATTGTCATGAAGTGTTCTGAATATACTGTAGACTTCGAGGAAGGAAGTGAGGGGAAGGGGGATTCAATCTAAGTGTTAAGTAGGTGTACAGTCGTATCGAGGTCAAAAGTTCGCTCCCGCCCAAAATGAAGCAGTATCGACCCCAAATGAGATGAAACAGTCAGGGTAAGGCAATCCGGAGACTCATTCCCGTGACTCAGTTCCACAGCTGGAGCGAAATTTTGCCCCTGACTGTACTTGGGTTAAAGATCTGAAGGTGTTATCAGATTTAGATTGTATATGTGGAAACTTTTACTTACTGCTCCAACCCAGTCGTGTCACTTTCCACATCGGTCTGGTAACACTTTCGGCCGTGTTTCCTCGCTTGTTCCATTCCGTTAAAAAGTAAGAGAGAAGTAACGATGACAGGAAGATAGATAAATAGATAATAGAACGACTAATAGATAAATTGAAGGCTGCAGTACTTATCTTTTCCTTGATAATTCTCCTTCCTTATTTGCGTCCTAATGATGATCGCTAAATATCCCTCACCTTCATTTCCTTCTCATTCCCCACTCACGTACAGTAAATGAACCCATGACCGACCTCCTAACTTTTGTCCTCGACAATTAAGTTTACGCGAAGACAAACATCTCTCTCTCTCTCACGTCCACCATCTAGGAATTCTGGACTCCTGGTTTGTAATAAGACAGAGTCGTGTTGCAACAGGTGTTAACTCAGTCGCCCCTTACCGAGATCTCGTTTAGCGTGCAGTTGCCTCGTTAAACACAACTGTAACTCGGTATATTGTACTAAAAGGTGGCTCACTTAAACGCCCCGCGACCATTTCGTTAACCGCACCACATCGGCAACCTGCTAAACGCAGTCTGTATTTCACTTAGCAATGAAAAGTATCTCGGTCACACCTTGGTCGTCCGTACACAAGGGTTTTAATCCATATCCAAGGTACAGTATTACACACTCGAGGACAAATTTCCCTAATGGTGAGTAAGTACAGTAGCCTTACTACCACAGCTACCCTCTCCCGAAAGACACTACAATACTGCCCTCTTGCCTATCAACGTGCTTAAGCGCTGGACTACACGTAAACTGAATCTCCTCTTCGCCATTGGCTTTAGATCTAAGAGAAGTTCTCAAAGAGTAAAAACGGTACAGTAAATGAAATAAAATATTAAAAAATATGTATTTAAATACATCAATGTATAGAATAGGTAAATAGGCATGTAAATGAATCATTGTGATATAATAAAAATACCCTATGATTAGAATGTAATATTTATATTCGTATTAAAATTGAATGTGTCATAATCACCTACCACACTATCTGTAATTTTTGTATTAAACCAGAATGATACAGCAATATAAACATACTTTTCATAATTGTCCGTATTAAATGACAGTGCATCAGAATCATCTACAACACTTCCATTACTTGTCCTTATTAACTGTACGTCTGTAACAAATGACACACTATCTGCTCCCGCTCATAATAATGACAACAACCCGGTATAGTTACAACATTGGATGCTGCCATAGTTACAACCATCTAATGCCCTTATAACACACTGTCAGCTCTCAACCTTATCAACAATACGACACTTACACATCGTCTTTTTAAGCATCAAACACCCAGCAGTATAATGGACACCAATATGAACACTTAATCAGGACTTGGCTAGTTTACAAACGTTACTATCAATACTACGTCCATAAAGCTCACTAAGATCCCACCGTACTTGTAAATAGACCATGTACTTAAACGATAAACAAATACAAATAATAAAAATAATTTGTCCATAAGGTCGAGCAAATATGAATAATAGAAGACCAATGTTAATAGTAGACAATATTCAAACACATCCTTTTAATGTTGTTTATACTTGTTATATTTATATTGTTGATTGTTTTTTTGCTTTTAAATGAATTACCTGGACAATATTATCGAGGTGATACACACACTCCTAAAATCATTCCAATATCAGTTTCATTTTTTGGGGGACGAAAGTGAATTAACATGGAAACTCTCTATTTGAAGCACCAATATTGTATTTTGGAATTATTTAGAGTGACAACATTTTCCGCCAAATATTTATTCTCATCAAAGTCAACAGCAACAAAAACTCTGGGGCGTGTGTACATAGAGTGTGATTGTCAGTAAATGGTTGATAATGGTGTGTGGGTCGGTGTGTTTACCTTTAATCACAGTTACTGCCGAAAGTCTCTTTGTAAGTCTGTTACGACCATGCGGGCACCTGGCCACACACATACACGCTAGCATATAAATATTATGATTTTCAATTATATAGATACTATCATTCATACACACACACATAGTTACACATTCACAAACAGACAAACATTTGGGAATTTGCTAGTATTTATCAGTCAATTGATCCACAGCAATTTGGCAATATGAGGACCTCCTCTACATCACACTGCCCTTCTTGACTTCAGAAAGGTTTTTGACCTTGTTGATCACTGCACTGTTATCAACAAGGCCATTGCACAAGGGCTGCCCAACAACCTGGTCTCATGGCTCACTGATTTCCTGAGTGAGCGTCGTCAGGCAGTGAGGTACCAGGGTTCTGACTTCACATTCCAACACCTCACCTGGGGTGTTCCCCAGGGAACCAAGATGGGATCACTGTGCTTCCTAAACCTGATTAACGACGCTCTATCGGACACTCCTCACAGGTGGAACTACGTGGATGACTGCACTGTGAGGGTTACAGTGGACAACACCTCACGGAACTACTCATCGCTGCAAGGCACCCTAGATAGGCTACAGGCATGGAGTACTGAGAACAAGGTCACCATCAATCACACAAAAACCATAGTCATGCACATCAACACCGCCACCACCCCAGTGCCCATCCTCTACTGTTAGTGCAGTCTGCTAAACTCCTGGGTGTAACTATAGACCACAAACTGGACTGGAATGCCCATTTGAACAACACTATCAAGGCAGCCTCGTATCGACTCTACATGCTACGACGACTCAGGTCACTTGGGGCACCCACGCTAGAGCTGAGGACTATCTACAACGCATTTATACTCTCCAATTTAACGAATGCGTCACCAGCATTTTCGTCTTATCTCAACTCTACCCAACAACGTCAGCTTGAGAAGGTACAGAAGAGGGCCTGCAGAATCATGCTCGGCGCAGACTACTCCGGCTACAACAATGCTCTCTCCACCCTGGAAATGCCATTCCCCAGTGACCTCCACCACCACGCACTAGCAAGGTTTGATAGTGGACTACTGCACCATTCTCGTCATCGCCACCTACTACCACCTACAGTACCCTGTCCACCTCGCCGTAGTCCGCCACTACAACAAAATTCAGCCCATAAGAGCCCGCACTGATAGATATAGGAATAGCACCATCCCATCTATTATTGAAATAATAAATAGCTCCTGATTTATGTACTGTAGAGCCCTGTAAATTTATTGAACGTATATTATTATTATGTCTAAATCACACGTAAGTTTGTATATTTTCAGCCACCGGCTGCAAATCTATTAATAAACCGTTTATTATTATTATTATTAATTTACACACACACACACACACATACACACACACACACACACACACACACACACACACACACACACACACACACACACACACACACACACACACTCACACATGCACGCGCGCGCGTACACACACACACACACGAGCATACACGCATCCACACAAAGTAATCAGTTTATTAGAATTGTTATAATTATACACAAATTATCAGAGCGACAGTAAAAACTCATTAACCAGGGTGTAGGTATGAGGGTGGGATGAGGTGGGGTGGGGTTGGGATAGGCAGAGGTAAATTATATAATAAACAAGGTCATCTTCATTGTTCATTATTAAGCTGTATTGTAATTATATATCATGAAACACTTTAAAGCTTCAGTTATGCTAAATTTAGAGTCGAAACCAAATTTTAACCCACATGAACATGGCCACCTGACGAATACAAACCAGCAAACAAGAGCAATTAAAAAACATCATTGAATAACCTGATCACCCTTTCTATTACTAAATTTTTTGTGGGGGGCTGGGTTTACTCACCTCAATGAAAACATTTTCTGACCTGACTAATGGATATTTGTCTCTTCTGAGGGATAGGGATATTATTTTTTCAGAGATGGCTTTTTTTGAGGGGGGGGAGAGTGTT